CGACGCCGTGGTAGTTGCAACAAAGTAGCCACGTGGCCTGGTATGCGAACTTCCCCTATCGTTTTTTGCGCTCGGTAGAGACCTTCCAAGATTTCCAAAAGTATTTGTATTGTCCGTTGTTTTCCCAGCATGTATGCAGCTATACCCGTAGCTATGTACAAATACATGCTATATCTGTGGACAAACAGGTATCTACCATATGGTACCCTATGGATCCATAGGTGTCTAGACACAAAAAACATGTGGTTGTAGATATATATGGCCACGCCAAAGATACTATCCGAAGAGGAGATCGCAGACCTTTTGGAAGACCGAAAGAATGGTATGGGGCTGCAGAAGGTAGCTAGGAAATACGGTATAGGAATACCCAAAATACGCAGGATAGAAAAAGAAAATGGCGTAGAGGTTGCAATACCCGAGAAGCCGCCTACTACGGATCTGCAGAAACATTTCCTGGAAGTGCAGGATTCTTTTGCTATTGTCCTCGACGACCTACAGAAAACGAAAGAAGAATTGCTGCTGCGCATAGGCGATCTGGAGAAACAGCTGCCAACCAGCGATTTGGAAAGCCTATCCAGCGAGGCAGAGGATTTGTCCGAAGAAGTAGAGGAGATATCCACGAAAATAGACTGGCAAATAGCTGGGAATGTGCTATTCGCCGTCTTGGGTATTGGTGCCCTTGTTTGGGCCGCCAGGAAGGAACCCAAAGTGGTGTACAAATATATTCCACACGAACCAAAGCCTAGGGAGCCACCAAAGGGAAGGATTCCAGAGATGGAGTAGCCGATAGATGTTGCGCAAACCTACTTTGCAATGTCCTACGTGGACACATGCACCAATCTATCCTTCCTTTTGTTCGCAGTGGTCTTTTCCCTGCCTATTTTGCAGTACAAAGGCGGTGGAGATGTCCAGTCTATTTTTTGCGCCTGCAGAAAGTGTCCCCAGACGGGCGTGGTTGCATGTTCCGCCGTGCAGCCCTCCAATACGCACTCGGAGCATCGGCTGGACAGGAACAGGATGGTTCTTTCTTTGCCCCTGTAGGTGGTTCTAGCATAGCGCCAGCATTGGTATTCGCCCGGCTGCATATGCAGCGCCTGCACGCATTCTTTGTTTGGCGGCGCCTGCACTTCCAGTAGTCTTTCCGGATTTTTGGGTATTCCATGGTCCATTTTGTCCACCAATTCGTAGTAGGTGTCCAAACCAGGGCCTTCGGGTACGAAGATGCTGGCTGCGTTGTTCTGCCACTCCAACAGTACTTCTTCCCCCGGAACTGCGGTGTGCACGTAGCCGCTGCTTTCGAACTTCCCCGCCGCAAATGCATCCAACATCGCAGCTGTAGCCCAAGCCACCGACGCTTCCTTGCCGCTGCGTAGGACTACGCGGTGCCCTTTGGCGGGCCAATCGGGGTCTTTGTTCCTTGGTTCTGCGTATCCCAGTATTTTGTAGTCGCCCGGGGGAATTTCTTGCATGCGGTGTACCTTCGTATGTGTTTCGAACAGCAACTCGCACAGCTTGCCGCTGCGTCGGCGAGTCCTATCCAACAGCTTTTTGTGCTTTTCCAACTCTTCTTCTATCTTTCGCCGGTCTGCTTCTTTTTGCCGCAGGATGTTCTGCTTTTGTTCCGACAGTTCTGCGTGGTATCTTTTCGTGGCTTCGACCCACTCGTCKCCTTCCAAATCGTCCCGTATGTCTTCCARGCGCTGCTGTCGTYTTCTTTTGGAYAGRAAGGAKATCCTGCGGTCCGTAGGCACTTCYAAAATGCCRAAKGSGCTCTTTTCTACTCCCAAGCGCTGYGCCTTCTTCGTACGCCATATCCACTCCGCGTGTTCCGTAGTTGGGAGAAAGTCTGCGATGGTAGGAGCATTCGCATGCACGCGGGTGGGGAACTTGGATTCTGCCAGCACCGTCGAGGAGTCCTTCGTGTAGCATCGCAGCGGGGCTATTTCCACTGGATCCAATTCTTGCACGTCTATGCGAAATATGGGGCATCTGCGCAGGCCAAATTCTGCTATGGTCCAAAGTACGCACTGCTCCCACTTTTCGTTGCCCCGCACGCGCACACCGGCTATTCTTCCTGTTCCCACATGGCAGTACCAAGCTAGGAAGATTTCTTTTGTTTCCTCGCAGCAAATACACAAGCATCTGTCCAAATGTTCGGCAAGTGCCAACCACATGTTTTTGGGTGGCTGCACCACAAATATGTCTTCTAGCGGTGCTATGGTTTCCGCAATGGCATTGGTGTGTTCTTTGGAGAAATCTCTGCTGTAGATGGATATTTCCACGCGCGTACATCCTCTCTTCTGCACGTCTGGATGCAGGAATGTCCTACGCAAATGGTCGTTGGGGCAATCCACGTACTCTGCCAACTTTGCACCTACGGGGTTTTGCACTTCTCCAGCTTCGAAGTTCGACACCACTTTGTTGTATATTTTCGTTCGTTTGCCCTTTTCTACCCAAGTACAAACGTGGTTGCCCACTTGGTGTGTATTGTCCAAGATGGTGCCTTCGCGCCAACCAGCTTCTCCCTGCTCTTTGTAGCCCATTTGCAGCAGTCGRCGCACCAAGCTCTTGCGGTCCAAAGTACCGGAGAAATCCTGCGTGTAGTCGACGGAATAGATTCCATATCCGTGCGCATCCAATAGCCTAGCGAACTTGGCAATGCTTTTGTCTACGACTTCTATGGGCAACTCGGAGGTGTCTACTTTGGCTACGAAGGTGGCTGCGTGTTCGCCGTGCAGGCTATTCCACTTGTTGGACAAATGGGCTACGCGGTCTACTATGTTTCCTTTTCTACACGTGTGCGCCATGTTGGTTGGTAGGAACATTCCAAAGGCTTCCGTGGCCGCAATGGATATCTTCGAGACTATTGCTTTTGCATTTCTGCAAACCCGCCCATACAAGTCTTGTTCTGCGACGAACCCATACACGAATACGTCGTCTACGAATGGCGGTAGCCCATGCAGCGGCTGCAAACTTGTAGGGCCTTCGTTGCCACGCAAATAGTCGCATTTGGATATGTCCGGCAGCAGGTTTCCGTCGTGGGCATTGTCCAGCAGCAAATGTGCTAGCAGCCTACTCTTCGCTCGTATGCCCATCTCTTGCAATGTAGTCGAAATAGTCTTTTGGGAGTCCATCTCTATATATAGGGGGAGAAGCAAATACTACGAACGTGGCCTTTGTTGGACAACGCACATCTTTTGGGGCACATTTCCAAAGGGGCGGTGGTTTGCAGCCCCTCTTTTGCCACGGGGACACAAAAAAAGGTAGTCGAAACATGGTTGTCGAGGCAGTGACAAACGATACACTCTTCTAAAAGAACTCTCTTACTAACTTCCCTACGCAATTACCGGGATGTCGCACCGGTTTCAACTTCTTAACGTCTGGCGTCTTTATCTTGTACGCACCGTAAATGACTACGGTAACAGGGTAAGCAACCTCGTAGAACAGCATGTCTATTCCTACCAATGCTCCCGGGCGTGTGTTTTCGTTT